TTGGACGTCCAGCTCTGGGCTCCCAACGTCAACTCTGGGGCCTTTGATGTCGAGTCCGGGGGCTTTCAGCTCCCCTTCCAGTTTGGAAACGTCCAGATTTCCTTTCACTCCGGGACCTTTGAGGTTCAGGTCGACGTCGGGCATCGAGATCTGGGGGGTCTGGACGTGCAGCTCCGGCGTCTTCCCCGCGGGGCCTTTAAGCTCCAGTTGGGGCCCTTTGAACTCGCCGCCCACGGCCGGGATGGAAACGTCCACCTCTCCCTTCAGCCCCTTCGCGCCGACGTCCACGTTGGGGCCCTTCACGCGACCCCCGAATTCCACCTCGGGCGCCTTCACGTCCACCTGGAGCCCCTTGGGGCCGAGTCCCGGCAGGTCCCCCCCCACCTTGGGGACGGTGACCCCCCCCAGGTCCCCCTTGGCCTGGGGGCCTTTCAGGCTCAAGTTCACGTCGGACAGGGAGATTTGGGGCGTCTCCACCTTCTTGAAGGCGGGGCCTTTCCACCCCCCTTCGACGGCCACCTCGCCCTTGGGGACCCCGATTTCCAGGGCGGGGCCGTCCCCCCGTGAGTCCAGGGCGGTGAATTTGGGGCAGGTCATGTGGGGGATCTTGACCTTCCCCTTGGTGCCGTCAGCGTCGGGAGTTGTGGAGAGCTCCACGCCGGGGCCGTCGATGCCGACGTCGGGGATGCCCAGTTGAGGGGAGGGGACCTTCCCGGCTGTGGCTGAGGGGGGTGACAGCCCAGGGCCCGTCACCTGGACAGGTGAGCAGGTGATGTTGGTGTCGGCGCCCGCCGGGGGGACCGGAGCTTCGCCACCGCCAGCCTGGAACCCAAATTTGGGGATTTTTAACGCGGGAATCTTGATCTTCCCCACGTCCACGGGCGGCGGAGAGCCGTCGACCTCTCCCTGGAGACACGGGGCTTGTCCTTTCCCGTCCACCCTGGGCCCCTTGATGTGGAATCCCACCTCCAGCTCTCCCATCTGTCCGTTGGTTTCAACCCTGGGTGACCCCGGGAAGGCACCGGAGCCTTTCCAGCCCGTCGGCATCTCCGGCAGGACGACTTTTCCAGTTTCTCCACCAGGAATTTGGCTCTCTGGCTGAGTCCTCAGCTCTCCCGTCGGCAGCTGGATTTTCCCGGGCTCTCCATCGGCGCCGAGGGCGAGTCCCGGGCTCGGGACTCGGATGTCGAGGTCGGTCCCCGCGGCGCTGAGGTCGCCGGCGCCGCCGTGCCGGCTGACGTCCACGGTGTAGGCCGTGACCTTCCTGGTGACCGTGATGGTCCTGCTCTGCGTCCCCCCGCCCTCGGCGTCCGCCCCTTCCTCCGACTTCAGCCGGGGCTTGATCTTGGTGGTGTAAATCCTCCTGTACTCCTCGTCATCTCCGCTCTGTAAGCAAGACAACCTCAAATCAGCATCTCCACCGCCTTCCTCGCCCCCACAACCACCACAACCACCACCACCGTCCCCACCGCCCTCCTCCCCGGCGCCTGATCTTGGTGGTGTAAATCCTCCTGTACCCCTCGTCATCTCCACTCTGCAACCAAGACGACCCCGGATCAGCACCTCCGTCGCCTTCCTTCCCTCCACAACCACCACCACCACCACCACCACCGCCCCCACCGCCCGGCACTCACCAGCACGACCTCGGGGCTGCCGGCGGCGAACACGTCGTGCGCCCAGGGCTGGCCGGGCAGGGGGGAGCGGTCGCCGCGGCGCTGCAGCCGCAGTCCCACGGTGTGGTGGCCCATGGTCTGCAGCAGCTGCGCCACCTCCCCGGACTGCAGGTTGTCGAAGTAGACGGTGGCACTCACGATCTGATCCCCTGCGGGCGCGGGCGGGTCAGGGGGGGAGACGGAGGGAGGAGCCCCCTCGTCCCCACTGGGGGTGGCCGTGGGGTCATCGCCCACAAGGGTGACGGAGGAACCACCCAAGGGCCCACCAGGATGGATCAACAACCCCAAAGACCCCATTTTTAACCCCAAAACCCTCAGAGAGGAGCCCCCTTGTCCCCATCGGGAGTCACCATGGGGTCAGTGCTCAGGAGGGTGGAGGAGGAAGCACCCCAGGTGCCACCAGGGTGGACCAAACAGCCCCAAAGATCCTGGTTTTTACACCCAAAACCCTCAAGGAGGAGCCCCCTGACTCCACCGGGAGTGACTGTGGGGTCATCGCCCATGAGGGTGGAGGGGGAAGTGCTTGAGGTGCCACCAGGATGGATAAACAGCCCCAAAGACCTGGTTTTTACACCCAAAACCCTCAGGGAGGAGCCCCCCGACCCCACTGGGAGTGACAGTGGGGTCATCGCCCATGAGGGTGGAGGGGGAAGTGCTTGAGGTGCCACCAGGATGGATAAACAGCCCCAAAGCCCCCGTTTTTCCCCCCAGAAAACCCTCAGAGAGGAGCCCCTGACCCCACCAGGAGTGACAGTGGGGTCAGCGCCCACAAGGACAGAAGAGGAACCACCCAAGGTGCCCCCAGGAGGGATTAAACAGCCCCAGAGCCCCCGTTTTTCCCCCAAAAAAACCCTCAGGGAGGAGCCCCTGGGCCACCAGGAGTGATCAAACAGCCCCGAACCCCCTCAGTTTGTCCCCCCAGACCCCTCCCAGGCCCCACCTTCCTTGACGACGCCCATGCGGGCGGCGGGGGAGTTCTGCTGGACGCGCTTGACGAAGACGCCGTCGTCGGTCTGGTCGATGGTGATGCCGTGGGAGCCGCTGCCCTGCCAGTTGGGCAGCAGGATCTCCCGCGTCTCCTCCTCCTTCTCCATCTGCAGCCGGGATCGGGGATGGGGTGAGGGGCAGGGACACCACGGAGGGGTCGGGGAGGAGGAGGAGGGAGAGCCCCGGGCGGCCCCACTGACCTTGTCGGGAGGAAGGTCCCGCCCGGATCCGCCCCAGGAATCCTCTGCCCTCGCCCGTCGGACCTCGCGGCGGTTCCTGTGTCACCTCCCCAGCCTGGAGGGGACAGCGGGGGGGGCAGTGAAGCTCCATCTGTCCCCCCCAGATCCCTCTTCCTCCCCCCAAAGCCTCCGGATGGGACGGATCCGGCTCCGGCTCCGCGGTGCGAGCCGGGAGCTCCGGGGCCAGGGACTCGCTGCCCCCACGTCCCCCCTGTCCCGAAGGTCCTTCTGGGCCAGCTCAGCCCCAGGAGCAGCTTTGCCTGCCCGGGAATCCACGTTTCTGCTGTTTTGTGGGAATTAAAGGAATTCCAGGGCTGGGTGGTCGGGAAGGACGGAGCGGGGCTGGCGTTGGAATGTCACCTGTCCCCTGTCACCTGCGTCGCCTCGGGCGCTGAACCCCCCCCAGGGTCAACTCCTCGGGCACCTACGGATGTTTTGAGGGGATTTCTCCGTTTTTAGGGAATTTTGGGCTGGGATGAGACAGAAATCAGGAGTAAACCCTCCTCCCGTCGCAGTCACAGAGGGGAAGGGCGGGATGAGCCCGATCCTTGCGGATCTGGGACTTGGGAATGTGGGACAGGCCCTGCCCCGGGACCGCCAGCCTGGACCGGAGCCCACCGGGAAAACCCACCTCCTTCCAGTCCCGGTTCCTCAATCCCACCGGGAATTTCGGGAGGGGTTTGGGATCTCCAGCTGGTTTGGGGTTGGAGCCGTCACCGCCCAGGCCTCGCCTGGACCCCCCAAAACCACCTCCCAGAGTGTCCCATTCCCACCAGCCCCGAAGGGGATTTGGGGAGGGAAATTTGGGAAAGGGGGGGAGGGTTGTCGTTATTTCCCCACCCCCAAAGAACCCCCAAACCACCGAGGGGGCGTTTTCCAGCTCCACAAACCGGGAAAGGTGGGATGGGACCCTTGGGGGCCACCCGGTCCTCAACCTCCCCCAGCCGAGGGTCCGGGGGGGGGGACAACACCAGGATGGCCGGGAAGGTCCCTGGGGATGAAACCCCCCAATTTGGGGAGCCTGAGGACCCCCTGGGGGGGTGGGGGGGTCATTCTCCAGGGGGTTCCTGGTTTTTTAACCACCTGGATGTTGGGACACCATGGGGGGGGGGGTGCCACTGTCACCAGATCGGGGTGGGGGGGGGACCCTCACGGAGCTCAGCGGGAGATTTGGGGGGTCCCACCCCCGGGAGGAGCTGCCCCCCCTACACCGACCCCCACCAGGGACCCCCAAGCTGGGGGGGGGTGGAATGGCCACCTCAGGGGTCTTGGTGGCCACGGAGCCACCAAGGTGTCCCTGGCCCCGAGGAGGTGACGGGGGACCCTGATCAGTGAGGGGGGGGGCAGGGGGGGGGGGGGGGGGGGGGGGGGGGGGGCACGGGGAGGGACAACCC